CCATAGGGGAAGAAAAGGAAACGTCTGTAACCCAAGAACTGGCCTCTGTCGCCAAGAGAGGAAGGGAACTGCACAAGAAAGGGAAGTAAAAGTGGGAAGTGAATGTGCAGTATCACCATGTGAAGAGCCTGTGCTTCTGGCGCCTGCTTCAGTCTCTCGTTGTCTGCCAAAAGCTACAAGGCAGGTGGTGAGCACTTGGCATGAAGTTCCCTGCAGCAGCTGCAGTGTGCACAGAGAGGCCAGACTGCAGAAAAGAGTCGCACTTTAGACAGAATGCCAAAGCATGGCAAATAAAGGGATCCACAGTCACCTGAAACTCTAATCCTTAATAGGGTTTTTTTGTTTGTTTGTTGTCCATCCAGTAGGGAAGATAGGAAGAAAAATTATAAAACTTGCTGTATAATCTAGTCTTAGGTAACCAGCTCTGCTACATCTCTTTAATTACAGCATAAAAACATTCTGCTAATAAAGCATATTCCTAGGGCTCGTAGCTGAAATGTGGCCTGCCTGCAGTACTGGATATTCCCTGTAATAGGTACTTGAAGTTCAGAGGTGGGGAAGCCAAATTCAAAGGCTGAATCTTTAGACAGTGCCCAGGTTTATTATATATGGGGACACTCCTTTCTAGAGCCCAACACTGCACAAGAAATTGGGTGGGGGATTGCTATGGTCACAGGAATTCATCTCTCTGATGAAGCTCTTCAGAGCTTCTTCAGATCATATGTAACCTACTCTGAGCTGGATCCTAGAAGCTACTGCTGGGTTTTCAATCTTGTCCTGATTCCAGGCCAGTTCTTTCTTGAACCACAACGTAAGGAGGGAAAAAAGACCAGCTGCCAGCAGCAACCGCAAGAAATGCTTATCACTATCTGCCATCATCTGCAGCAGTTCCCTCTGCATGGACAGTAGATGAGTCTCGGTACATTGTTGGTGAGCTGGGCCCGCTGCTCCAAGCCCAACTTTCCCACCATCATCAGCCCAATGGCTTTGAGAGAAAAAGCACTCAAAGCAAGCTGAAGCTTGAAGAGAGATGCAGCTCCTGACTGCACTGGATGTGGCAGCTGCTGGAGGCCCAAGGCCCTCTGCCGCAGTCATGGTGAGTGGTAACATTTACAATCACTGAAAGGAGGAAAACTTAGGACCAGCTCCAACTGGCCATGTTGGGAATTCCAGACTAGGTAAGCTGTATGAGGACTGGGGGCAGCACACAGTATACTGGCCTCAGAATTAAGGTGTCATTTCCATTAGAGTAGCTCAGTCCTCTCTCTCTGGGACATCACCTTTAGAAAGCATCCAAAAATCAAGTCCAGCTCCATTCTCAATAGCCAATGCAGAAGAATGCTCAGTAACTGAAGGTGCCCAATCATCCTTATGGGCAACACTGCTCCCTCTTACTGCCTGGGAAGGAGTTGAAGCAACTGTCAGGCCTGCTCTTCTCCCTCATTGGAAACGTGTCGGTAGCCTGGGGGCTGAGACTGTATGCGAAAGAGTACAGTCAAGAGGAGGATTATAAGAAGAATGAGAATGGATCCACACACAGCCAGACCCACAAACAGTTCTGCAAGGGAGAAAACAAGTGGTCAACATGGTAGCATCCAACCTTTCCCCTTCTGCCATGCTCTGGTCCAGCCTGGGCTCACCTGTGTCGTGCATGCTGCTTGCCACCCGGCATTCTTGCTCCCAGTCCTGAGGAACAACAGGATCCGTGAGTTCCAAGAATCTTTGCAGTGGGCATTTATGCTGACAGCCAGGAATTGTCAGTGGGAAAGGTTCATTCCCACTCTCATTCCGGAAAAACATCTCCACAGAGAAGTTACTGGAAACAAAACACAGCTAGATGTTGGTGGGTTTTTTGTTTTTTTTTTTTTTCTTTCCTCCAGCTAAAGTCATCCCTTCCCAAAAACTCGGTGTGCACACACTTTCCTTTAGTCTGGTGGTAGTTCTCCTCCTAAGAGTCTGCCACTAGGAGCAAGATTGCATCCCCTTAGGGTAGAGCCTAGCCTAGGTATCTAACCCTTGAGGTGAAATCACAGCAGATGTCTTTACTGCAGCCCTCACCCATCATCCTCTTGGTACAGCTCAAATAAATGACATGAGGCGTATGGTGCTTGAATCCTGTTGTAGACATCTAGAGCCATCTGCAGTGCCACAAGTGTGGTGTCGTGCTGAGAAAGAGGGAAAAAAACCCAAATCAGTCACCCTTACGGATGTGGCAGGGCAGCTCAGACCATACCAGTAACGGACAGGGAAGTGCTGAGGAGATGTCACCTTTGTAACTTCCATGTGGAAGAAAGGAGAGGAACAGTACTGCTAGAACAGTGATCTGTGATGGCATCAGAGAAGGGGAGGAAGTGAAACACAGCCATAGCATTGCTCTTTAAGAATGAATCTCTAGGGAACAATTTGGGAGAGATGCTTGACTTCCCAGTCAGTAGGCTGCTGGAAAGGGCAGACTCTCTATCTACACTGCTGAAATATCACATCTGAGTAGCATCAACCCATCTACCAAATAAATGCGGCAGTGGCTCCCCGAAGTCTGCCAGTCTTATCCACAAGCCTGAGCTAACAGGAAAAAAGGCAGGTTGGGAATTTTCCTCAGGGGTCCCAGAGGAATGATGACAGATCCTGCACATCTCACCCAGCCAAAGATGCATGTCCTGATCACTGCACGGGCTATGGAGAAGTCAGAAAGGGTTAAAACTATCACCAAGACCCAATACCCTGTGAGGAGGAGATGGATAAAAGCTAGCCCCCAAGCTCTGACTTACCGCTGAATAGGCAAGTAGTTTCAGGTTCTGGTGGGCAGAAACATTTGCTGCTTTGGTTAGGTTTTTCCTTATGTGATCCAGCAGGACCCCTGAGGAAGGGGCAACAACTGTAAGAGGCAAAAATTAGACAGAGCAGCATGTAAGCTCACTCCCCGGTGTACTCACCGCCTTGCAGACGAGCTTTTTCTACCCGACTGTGGATCCCAAAGAGAAATTCAAAACCAAAGTCTTTCAGTTGCTTCAATTTAGTCATGACATGTGGTGTCACCCATACAGGCAAATCCATTTTGTGTGTTTGCTAGAAAGAGAAACAGAATACTCATCTGCAGGTAGCATGGATTGCAGGTTAATCAGAGAACGGGAGTTGGGGTGTCTGGAGTTCTGCCCATACTGCTACTTATTTCCTATATTATTTTAAATATGCCCTTTTTCTATTTATGCTTCTGTCCTCTCGCTGCTGTGCTGCATACAAAGAATATACGTGGGCTTTAATGTTATTTCAGAAACTAATAGTGAGAAGCATAAAGATCAAAATCTAGGAGTTACATTTCTGTGAAAGCACAACCAGAGTGCAGGGTTATGTCACAACACAGATACAATAATCTTACGGCATTTACTTTATGTGTGGCTGATTCTGCCCTGCAGATGGCATGCAGTCAAAAAAACCCCAAAAAAAGATAAGCG